GTTTCGGACGCACCTTTGTTTTTCAAAGTGTGCGTCTGATGTAAAAGTGCATGTCCAAATAAATATTTTCGTTGTTATTATTGTTATTGTTTTTGTTCATGTTGCTGCTGTTGTTGTTGTCCTTGTTGTTGTTGACTCTGTTGTTATTCATTTTTTTAAACGTATAGGCCTACGTTCATTTTCGCAAAGCATAACAGATTCACCAAATAATATATTCCGCTATTCAAGCTAGTTAACAATAAGGTATATCTATGGGCTTATATGATAATTATTATGTGTTATACATAAAAATGAAACATTAACATAGTAAACGTCATAAACGTTTTCAGGAAAAAAAATACTCAAATAGGCACAGGTTTTCCAATTTTAGTTTCAGTATTGAAGAATCTAGTATTTTCAATAACGCCAGTAATATTCCCAAATGTGTTTTTCAGTACAGAATTTGCATGTAAAAAATAAAAATAATGGCCATCAGAATCTGAATCTGATTTCACAGGATTTGGAAAGTTTGCACCAAACCAACCATTCACTCTAATCGGAACTTCAAAATCAATCGTTTTCGTCTCCGTTAGTGCGACCATAGTGACTTCTCTCTTTGACCTTGGGGGGATTTTAACGTGCACTGATGTAACAAATGATGTACTAACACTCTTTGTCTCCGTTTTCCCTGCTAAAACAGAAACGGATAACGTACCTTCCATTCGAAAAATAGTCTTAATAGTGATTTCACTAGTGAATGACAAACCGGTTGTGATGGCTGATGATATACTTGTTGTCTCATCCCAGTTTACCCCAACAGATACTCTCATTTCAGCCGTGGTATTACCTTCGTTGATAGCCGTTTTACTTCCAACAATAGCCTCATCTGGTACCCCAGACCTACCTAATGTAATCGTATAACCACTGACTTGTTTGTACATATAGTTACCATATTGCTTAGTAATAGCTGGTTCAACAGCGTCGTAGTATATTTCTTTGTTCAAAGCGATGCCATCCGGTTTTGCATCAAATTCATTTTCAAACGCTTCCCTCACTTCATTTGGATTGCTATTGAAGGCTTCTAGGTCATCAAATGATAGATGCTCTTTGATCATAGGTATAGCCTATGTTTAAAAGAAAGTGCTAACTTTTAGAATTTATTCGCCATTTTTTTGTTAATTAAAGCTGGCCCAGGCAGTCTACTGGGCCTTGAATACACTTCCCTATCATATTCCATACGCCTAACACTTTCCTCAGAAATATGGAACCAATTTTGCTTAAGGCACTAACATTTTATTTATGTAAAATATATTTTGGATATGTAATATTTAAATTTTATATAGAATATATATTTTTTGGACAGCAAACATTAACACCAAACTTTTAATTGCAATTGTCTTGTTCTTTGTTAATTTCAATGTATATAGTACTCAATCAAAAGGCTCTTTATTTTCTGAATGTATTTATATGCTTTTATATTGTAATGCATTCAAATTCAGCTATTCGTTGTCGATCATTTATATATTTCAATTTGTTGATACTATATAGCTCAAATTGTCATTGTCTAATAATCTCGTTGCCTACCGACTTCTGAAAAGTTCAAACTAAATTCTCACTACAATTTAAAAAGTAATTTCTTTAAAAAAAAAAAGGGAAACAGGAAAAGGTGATTTGATTCATCCCTGTAGGAGAACTGTTTTAGAGTGTAATATTATTTTTTGCATTTAGAGAGTTAATAACATAGCCAGCGGCTGTTTATATACACCGCCAAAAAAAAAGAAGTAAAACCCATGCTTTTTGCTGCAAAAGAAAATAGACGTTTTAATAATGTTGCATTTTTTAACTGAAAAATTGATTAAAATACACATTCAATAGACGTCAAAATACAAGCAAAAAAAGAAAAAAGAGAAAAAAAAGCACCAAGAATATTAATATTATTGCAAAATACCAATACAAATAATACAGATAAAGGAAACATTATTTATATCAAAAATGTTTTTTATTTACATAAATTTCTTTCGTTCGTAAAATGGATGACGCAATTTAGTAGGGTCATTTTTCAGAAATATCATGGTTCCCATCATCATGATCATTTACCAACATCATCATTTCTGCCTCGAGATTAACGCATGTGGGTCTCTGTCACAGGCTTTTAACGAAAATGCTATAATGTTCACAAATGTGTTTTTACGCTACGTTTGTTTACCGAGCAGCGGCATCTATTGAATACGATGCTGTATCATTTTTAACAAGTAGTTCTTTAGTCAATGGTCAATCGTTTTCTTCGAGTTATTTTTTCCATCTCTATTGCAATAGAGACTTGTGCTACTGATCTTGGTAGACTGGGTTTCAGTCCCTAAACTTTGTCTTACTCTGTAAAAAGATGGAAAAATCGATTTTGGCACCAATGGCGTTCCATATTACCTATTTGCTTGGCGTTTTATAGTATACTTTTTCTTGGATTAATTCGCATCAAAAAAGTTTTTCGACATAAACTGACGCTGGTGGCGCTTTCCAAAATGTGCTAATACTACGAAAAATCAATAAATTAGAGACTTGTGGCAAGTCTATGATCTTGTTAATTGCTGCTTTCTTTTTCTGTTTTTTTTCTCTTTGTGGCAATAAAGCGGTTGTGATAAATTGCTTTTATGCATATAGTCTCGGAAATGCGTATCATTGATTTTTAACTAATTTTACAGGTGTTGTCTGTGCTCCTCTTCTACTTTCAGCCAAGGAGCCATGGAGGCGTTTAATCGGTATCAAATCGTTCTAAATTACGCTTGCTTATAGCTGTCGATATGTTTTTGAGATTTCTAGAGTCCCTGAAATCTATGAAGTTAGTTTTGTTTTTGTTTACGGGTTACTTTTCTTAGTTTTTTTCCTTCAAGGTCTCTTGCGTATCGGCGAGTTAGCAGTGCGCAAGGGAGATGCAAATAAAATTAATGCAAGGCAACGTTTGTACTCTTTAATAGTACTTCAGCATTTTTAACCACATATTAATACAAGACCGAAGTTAGTATATGCCCACTATTCTTATTACATTTACACTACACTCGACAACCGTTTTTGTTCAGTTTTATAGGGCCTAGCGTCAAGTACAAATTGTAGGTTCATGACAATATAAGGTATTATGTTAAGTGTTCATCGATATCAGTAACAATAAAGAATTACATACTATTTGATTTTATTCTTGCAAAACATTAAAATCAAAATTGATTCCGCTGTAATCTTTTTTAAAGTGTATATATGGCACCTTTCATCTATATCAGATGATGGTAAGGATGTATCCAATGCAATTGTGTAACAACACTAAACATGTTTTTTTTTAAATTAATTAACCAGGTAGTTCAATTTACATTTCCTTTCATGACTGATTAACCCGATTGTAGATTTGCAAATCCGTTGACACTTTAACTGGCCAGTGAGACTGAATAGGCTCTCCCACTTTTGAAGATGACCCTTGGCGTGTTCTGCGCCAACCGAACTTGATTTATCACCCGTAACTGCCATCCCCCTGTTTGTTGTCCAATAATGTGGGTGAAGTTGTCTCTCCACATTGATACATCACCTAGGCAAAGTTACGGATGTCTAGATTTGCCTAGTGTCTAGAATCCATTCTCGACGTAATCTAGAGGAACAGGTTTCTGCTACATATAGTGCTGAAATCAGTTTCAGGAGCTGCCGAAAGTTTGAAGGAGTTCTTCAAATCAATCGCCTAGAGGGCTCCACTCCTATAACGTAACAAGTGATCTGCTACTATTCGCCATAGCCCACGTCTGTCCCTAAGCCTCACCGCTTTAGCCTATCAGGGTCCACCGCAAGAAGGTGTGGGTTAGCTTGAGTAGAGAGGCTAAAAGCCCAACAGAGGAGGAATTACAAAATTATCTCCCTTTTTACCAGAAGTACGAAATGAGATGATCATAGTAGAATGAATAGTTTGAAACTAGTATTTTAGAAAAATGTAATTGTTCTAGATAATGTTAACCGTATGGTTAGGGCCCACAAACTGTGAAAGTCCAATGTGATCATACAGACCATGGCTCTACATGTATGTGAGACGCATCATAACTCCAATAGACCCCCTTTTTAAATAGAAAAAGAAATCAATTAATGGTTTTTATTTATTTATTCTACACGATGTTTCAATTCTGAATTTTGTTAAGTTGTCAAATTCATCCTTTGATTTCAGTTGACAAAGATAAGTATGCTGTTGGATTTTAGCCATCCTCAAAATTTAATATATTATTGCTATTACTGGAGTAGAAGTTGATTGAGACGTTGGCTGGTGTATATCTGAATATATTGCCAAATAATCTACAACAGGCGTCAAGATTCCTAAGAAATCTTGTCCGGAATGCTTATACCAATACTCAGTTCAGTTTGAGTCTTACAAAATATTGTGAAGGATAGATGGACGGATTTATTCGGTGTAAATACAAGGATAACCCACAACTGATTTCCAGTAGGGCCTGGTAATGATGGGGCAGTACACAGTACACAATTTTCCGAAGAGTGTACTACGTTCTTTAACGTGCACATGGGCCAATGCATACGGGACCAACAGCTAACGGTGCGGTATCGTAACATGCATTTCATCCCTTCAACTAACATAAGAAAGCAGCGTTAGGAATTAAACCAGAGAAGAAGAGAAACTAAATGGTTCAGCGCACACACAGTCGCTTTCACCATTTCAGCCAACTGAGCTAAACTGCAGTAATTGCAAGTGTACGTGCACTGTATCATTATGGTTTCTATTCTCGATGATCCAAGAAACCCGTTTTCATCTTTGAATAGTAGTGTTTGATCTAGATTTTTAAAAGTCCAGGATAATTTTCCTCTATTCAACATAACTGGTACCAAGTATGGACAAACTATTTTCTAAAGATGAATGATTAATGTTTGAAATATTGTTTGCTATTATCATTTATTTTTATTTGTTCCATAATATCTTATGTCAAACCCCATTTTTTTAAATTGTTTTTAATGTTGTTTCAAATATTTAGGATGCCATTTCTGTTGAAGTTAATGACTCTTAGTTTATTTTTATTATTAAACTTTTGTAACAAGTATTACTTAGGATAATATTTTAGTTTAATCCTGTAAAAAATATTTATGTATGTCTTTGATATTTAAACGGTTAATTCGTTTTATATTTTGTATCTCTATTGATTTTTAATATTGTATACATTGTTTATTTTACTTTTATAATTATCTCGTCAAGGTTACCGAAGCTAGTAGCGAAATAAACGTAGCCGGTAAGAAGAAGAAGAACAAGTACCTATGTATTTTATTCTTAAAGCCAAATGAAATTCTTCGACTGTCTTTTTTGCTTACCAGTTTTCATTTCAGCATTCCCGTCTGATTGGTGTGGTATTTCTTTTTCGTTTTTAAATTTGTGTTTTAAAGGTTGAGATTGTTGTGTTTTCTTTGACAAAATGAAATAAATATGCCAAATTTTATTATTGTATCCCAAAACGCTTAATAGTTTTACAAATTCCCAATGTATTTTAATCGTAGGAAAGCTAGTACAGTACGGTAGTATAAAAAGCTTACCATAGTAATGTTTTCGGTGTGGTCGGACGTATCTTCAGTGCTTGGAGCAGCCTTGTTTAAAAATTGAAAAAAATATATATTTGACCTAATATTTTACCAAAAAAGACATCCAAGAATTAATTTTATCCGTTAAGTATTGGCGAGATTTGATTGTGTTTTCTTTGACGAAATAAAATAAGTATGCCAAATTTTATTACCGTATTAATAATTTTACAAATTCTCAATGTATTTTAATCGTAGAAAAGATAGTATGGTATGGTTGTATAAAAGGCTTACCGTAGAAAGGTTTTCGGTAGTAGTATGGTCGGACTTCTCTTCAGTGCTTGGGGTAGCCTTGTTTAAAAATTAAAAAAAAAAAAAGTTGACTTAATTTTTTACTAAAAATAGACATCCAAGAATTAATTTTATCAGTTAAGTATTGGTGAGATTTGGTTCAGCCTATGTAAGAGGCACTCTATTAATTACATTTAGTGAGTTGATAACATAGTCAGCAGCTATTTATTTACACCGTCAGAACGTAAGAAAAAAAAAAACATGCTTTATGTTGCAAAACATCAGACATGTAAATTTATCCTGATCCCATCGAGTTGGTGTATTTTTTTAATTGTTGTTTTCTTGTAATAGTTGTGTGAATGATATAATAATGTGCTAAATTTACAAAAACGCATGATAATTTTGCCAGTTTCGAATAAGATTACCTTAATACACGTGTCTTCTTTAGTAGTAGGCCTATCGTCGGACTTTTCCTCAGTGCTCGGAGTGGCCTTTTTAAAGTGAAATAAAAAGTTATTTATTTTATACAAACTTGCTCTCTAAATGCAGAAGAGTTAATAACATATTAAGAGTTTGAAATTTTAACTTTCATTAACAAATTTTTCACTAACATAAATAAATTGTATTAATATACCCCAAAACTCTCGTAAAAATACTAGTAGCATACCGTAAATTCTAGAATAGCGCCGCGGTGCTTATAAACTTTTTGGCGGCTTCATTGAGCGGCGCTTGTTCGAGAGCAGCGCTTATAAAACATATTGGCGTGGTGATTTCCATGCCCGTTCCCATGTTACCTATCTCACGTAGGTCCTACGTCATCGGAGGTATTAAATAAAAGTTTATGAAGAAATTGTGTCTTCATTGTGTTATTTATTCATTTTAACATTGTATACCTTTTACAGTATTTAAAACCCTGTTTCTAAAAGTGTTTCATTACACACAGGCCAAAAATATACTCTCGATTAAGCGGCCTCCACAGAAACCCCTTCGGTAGAAGTATGGCCTGACTTGGGGTGGCGTTGATTAAGGATTGAAATAAATTAATTTCATCTTATTCAAATGTTTTCCTACTTGCTTTATTTCCTTTCTCTTACATATTTCAAGTAACATACCATAACTTTGTAGACAACAATAAGAAAAGGGAAATGAGAATTTTAGAAGCAAGTGCTTATAGATGAAACATCCGAAGTTACATATACAAATAAACATATACTGTAATAAGAAAAAAAACAAAAACAAAAACAAAAACAAAAAAACACAGTATGCAACAATATAGAATGTGTAACAAAAAAACCAAAGTTGCTGTTATTATTATTATTATTAGGCCTATCATTATTATTATTAGGCCTATCATTATTATTATTAGGCCTATCATTATTATTATTAGGCCTATCATTATTATTATTATTAGGCCTATCATTATTATTATTATTATTATTATTATTATTATTATTATTATTATTATTTTTATTATTATTATAGTTGGTAAACAAATCAATATTATTTAAGAAAGAAGAAAATTTTCACAATTTTATAAACAAAATCTTCCATTTCAAAAACCATAGGTTACAGAGATAATATAAAAACACAAATATATTGCATTATAATGTTTTTTTAAAATCATAAATTGTCGTTTATTATTTCTTGGAATTACAAAATGAATGAAAAAAATATTATTTCAACAAGCAATTCTTTCAAAATTAATTATAATACACAATATTTTTAACCAAATCTCAATTTACAAGAACCATACAATTCAGAGCCAATATATATATACAAATAAATAACATTTTTCTAATTAAAGAAAAATAAATTATATGCAAAAGAGACAATGTGTTACCTAATTTTCACTAAAATAGAATTCAAGAATGAATTTTTGTTTTTAAGTCAGGCTGAGATTTTATTCAACCCTGTAGGAGGCACTCTTATAGCGGCTGTTTTCTCTATTTACTTAGTTAACATACGTCTTTAAATCGGCGGCATTCAAAATGCATTCTACTTTAAAATAAGACAGGGAGTCACTTAAATGCTGTACGCTTAATATAATACCAATTAAACAAAAGTAATAACAGCTTTAAAATAACTAAAACTGATAAATTAGAAAAATAATGAACTTAAAACTAAATAATACATTAAGCATAAATTATTTCTGTGTACAACCAAACATCAACACACAAATATATCCATACCCCGACCCAACCGACTCCTTTTTTTTAATTTGAACCACGTGAAATTATTTGAAAATAAAAAAAAAATATAATTATACTCCCATCTACCCTCTCCTTCCTATTATACATTAATTACAGTTCCAGTACATTGTAGTTTAACGATTGTATTATATTGTACAGTATACAACTTGTAAAAGCCAATCTTGTGCACTCATTACATTTGATAATGACCTCCAAAAATACAGTGTTCTATGTCTCCATGACATCATAATTGTTTGTATGAACGACTGATATCATAATTTCAAGAACACACGTGAATTTTTTTTTCAGTTACATCTGCCGACTTGTTCTGCGCATAGAGACTCGTATTTTGCGCAATATAAATGAATAACCTTTAACCTTTATATATATATATTCTATATATATGTCTAGATGTGTATAAGAGACAGATATCAAAATGAGTATATTTATCTTGGACAGATGAGAGCTCCCTGAACAGGCAGTATTATTTCCAACTTTCATATTCTTACATTTTTTTTATAGCTTAGTCCTACTGCTTTTCCGACGATTTGCACCTCACACATTCTCATCTGAGTTTTCAAGAAAACCTGCAATGATCATGCCATCCTGCTAATCTCAATCGGCCGATGGCCAAGAAGCTAACCACCACCACTAATTTCATCTGCTATTCTACTGTTATGTAATACTGTACTCACAACATTCTTGTCATGACAGGCCATGCTCTCTGAACGATTATCTTTTCAGCCGCACCACCATTCGTAATTTGTGGTTTCCTGATGTCCTTATATAATCGTTTTTCATTCAAACTGTGGCTCTTGAATTTAATAGGTTCTCATAAGAACCCCTCGATTTTCTTCTACTTCCATAGCGCCCCCTCAATTTCCACTCTGTTTTGATAAGCGCCCCGTTTGAATAAGCGCCCCTCAAAAAGTGCAAAAAAATATATATATTCGCGCGAGTACGGTAGGCCTATTTCTGTCACTATTTACTTTTAATTCATTCCAAATAAACTTATATATTATTATTATTATTATTATTATGATTGTAGCTAGTAAAGACAAAGATAAAGAGAAAATGCACACAAAGATACAATTTTGAGTTAGTAGTCTAAACTCACATGTTTGGTCTGTTCTATTTTTGGCTGTAGAAGTAGTTGAATCACACAACATTGGTTAATTATGTCTCATTTTTTGCTACCTAAAATACAATAATTGCTGACTGAATATGCTAACAGAAGATAATATACTTTACTATTTTTGCAAATGATCGAGCACTAAAAATGTTTGTCTCATTATATACACTTTTGGTTGCCAATTATCATTATGACAAATTGTAGCTCTAAAAGATTGTTCCTGTCACAGGACGTTTTATTAATGTTTATTTTCATTTAGAAAGATAAACATTTTAAAGTTGTTCTGTTGTCCTAAAATGTTACTTTATTTTAAAAACAAAATAACAGACAAAATGTTTCGAAGATGTTTTGTTTCTAGCTCTTAAAAAGAGGTAGATGATATAGAAAAAAAAACCAATTCAGATATTCTTCTATGACATAAACACTGCTTAATGGTCATCGTATGTCAAATCTGGTTGGGGTTCAGTTTTAAGTGTGCTTTGTTTTTTGCATTTAAAGACACGGTACTGGTGTACGGTAAAAATGGCCCTGGTAAAAATGGCACCAAATGATAAAATTCAGTAATAAAAATGATTTTTTTTTTAATCTTCAAATATTTATATGCTGTAAAATAGCAAGAATTAAATCAATATATCAAAAAATTCCCCACCCCCAATAATAAAATTCAGTAATAAAGTAGTTTTATATCTTTTTTAATCTTCAAACTATTTAAATGCTGTAAAATAGCAAACATTTAGTCAATAAATCAACATGTCATACGCATTTAAAAAAAAAATTATTATGATAAAAATCAGTAATAAAATTGATATTTTAAAAACTATTTAAATGCTGTAAAATTGCAAAAATTGAATCAATAAATGAACATAAATCGTATGCATTTTTGAAAACTAAAATAACCTAGTTTTGTTTTAAAACAATCTACCGGTAATGTCAAATAAGTTGCCATTTATATTACTGCTTGCAGGGATCATACAAAATATTAATAACATAGTCCATAAATAACTTGTTGTCATCAAAATTATACTGTACAGTACTAGGTGATACTGTATTTTGTTAAATATGTATTATAAATGTAGTGGTAATGTATTGTTTGTTGAGCCACAGGTCTATATAATAAATGTGACCCAAGACCAAAGAAGGGCTGTAACTCGTACTCTATCAAAATGGGTTTTTAATGTAAATGACCAGAGCACATCTATAACCTTACAATGAGGGCTCAATTACCTTAATCGGACAATTATGTGTAAAGTTAAGCTATTTTGAATTATAATTATTCTCTATAAACTGGCCTATAAAGTTCTGAGCAAAATGGCTTTTAAAGTAGGCCTACTGAAGAAATTGAAGAGAAAATCACAGCAGCAGTCAAAGAAACTCCTAAGCAACAACACAGTTCCCATTGAGCTATTGCGATGGAATTTTCTACGGTTAGCTGGAAATAGGTTGGGGAACAGAGATCTTCTATTTTTATGTCGATACTCCAGGGGGTTAATTAGTGATACCCCGGGAGAAATTGGTTATACCTTTATAAAGCTGAATCATCCTAGGTACTTATTATGGCATCCCCGTTGTTCTGATGAATTTAGTAGACATAAGAAGTGTTTTATTCGTCAAGCCTTATTGTAGAGGTTGTTTTGTCGCGGTGTGGATGAAAAAGGGACGGGGTAGGGTTATGGGGGTCTGGATTATTTTTTTTTTAATTTATAAACATTTAAAAAATACAACATTTTCAGAATTAAGCAAGTGAAATGATCAGGATTTCTATTGTTACAAGCTACATTGTACCATCGGGAGGTGGTAAACAATCTGTTTCGAACTAACGGTTCCATCCATTACTGGTAGATAAAATTAATTACTCTCTATCTTCTTTAAAATCAACACATTT